AGAATAAATACAAAGCTGAAGAAGGATCAACTCATTAGTTTTTCTTGGACTTAACTTTTAACTATCGACACTGTATGAAGAGGCGGCGCTGGGCGAAGCGCTAAGAAAGGGGGGAAAAAGAAACGTAGTCCTTGTTTTCCTGGGTGTTACGCTTAGTTTGTGGAGCACCTATCCACAGTTTTCATTAAACTGCAATGGAAACTGCACACTGTGCATCCTGTAATTTTCTTCTTCGGGGCTTCAGACTTTAAATTATCTTCACCTTATCAAGTGCTGACCCACGGGCCCTCACATGTAAACAGAAAAAGCTGCCGGTAAGCAAAATTTTCTCTCTTTCCCTTTTCTTCAGATGGAAAAGCATTTCCAGTGAGTTTTGGTAAGCTGATTTGTTCAGCTTTAGGAGGCTTGTGCTTGTCTTGCATGGAGTTTAACAGGAGTTTAATTGCCCACAACAGAATAAGAAGTGGAAAGTTACAACAGTTTGCTTGGACTCATTTAATAGAGAAATACTGCAGACTCGACAGCCACTCTATTAGGTACAACTGCTCATTTTGTGCAATCACATGGCAGGAAATTAATTCTCTTGGACATGTAGGTGAGGTCAAGGTGAGCATCAGAATGGGGAAAACGTGATTTAATTGACTCTGAATGTGGCACAGTTGTTGGCACTGTTTGGGCTGGTCTGTTTTGGAAACTGCTCATCCACTGGGATTATCCCACAAAAGCATCTCTGGCGCTAAAAAGAAAAGAAATTTCCACTAATCTGCAGGAAACGCCTTGTTGATGTCAGAGGTCAGAGGAAAATGGCCAGACTGCTTCAAGCTGATAAGAAGAAAACTCAAATAATCACTCACTACAGCCAAGGTATGTAGAAGAGCATCTCTGAAAACGCAACATGTTGAACCTTCATGTCAGGAAAAACAGGAACCTAAGGCCACAGTTCACACGGGGTCACCAAAACTGCACAACAGAAGATTTGAACAATGTTTCCCGGTCTGATGAGTCTCCGTTTCTACGGCAACCTCAAATAGTGAGATCAGAATTAGACGCAGATAACATTAAAGCCTGGATCCATCCTGGTTATGTAATGGTGTGGGATTTTCTTGGTACATTTTTCACTGTTTGGTCTCTGCCCATCCTTTGTGTACTATCTTCAGATAGCTGCTTTCAGCAGGATAACTCACCATGTCACAAAGCTCAAAATGACCTCAAACTGGTTTCTTAACCACATCAATCAGTTCAATGCACTCAAATAAGCTCCAAGCCCAGATCAAAGTCTAATAGATGTGGTGCAAGAGGAGATTCGCATCGTTTACGTGCAACAAATGTCTGAGGAATGTTTGCGGCACCGGCAGGAATTGGGGCAAAAGAAGGTCCACGTTATTAGGCTGTACTTAATAAAGTGGTTCATTTTTTGAGGGAAAAATTGGATCTGCTAAAACTGCTTTATTTTAAAGATTTCTTTTCTGCAGAAAAACAACATGCCACAATTCATCCTCGCATACGCAAAGAAGTGAGAAGACGTAAAAACCACAAAAGGAAGCGAATTTGGCGATTCTTCCAACCACGACTCATGACGTCAATATTTCTACACTCCTGGTAACATCCAGGACAACAAGCGAGAAAAGAAGGTGGGAGAAAGAGATGCAGAGATAGACCGAAGCAAAAATAAGATAAAAGAAAGAGTAATGATAAAAACAGCGGATGTGTGAGTGAGGGAAGGAATGGAGCAGAGATGGGATAAGGGGGGGAAAAGTGGCAGGGAAAAGGCGAGAGGGATGACAAACGCTCTCTCACTCGCTCGCGCTCTGTGGGGTGGAGGAACACAGCTTGGCTCGCCACGGTAAACACATAAAACGCCACAACCACAACAAACCACAGGCTGCCTGGCGCACGCACATAAACACACACAACAGCAGTGCACTAAGCCCGTCCTGCTCGCTTTTCACAAGCAACACAGCTACCCGCAGAGGCTTCCCACTGTGATTGACAGCTTGGGAGAAACCACTCAGAGCCACGGGGAGAGGTAAACCATAAACCCAGCCTACCGCCGAGTGACTGACACTGATGTGAAAGCCACTTTCCCTGATTGGCAGTTGAAGTTAAGTCCTCGGACAAAGAAGGGGAAAGGAGGGCTCCGGATGAGTCTGATGTCCAGGAATACAGCCGAGCAACAGATCCCGCTTACCTTAACCCTCTCAAAAAACACCTCAAAGACGCTCTTTGAAAAAGGAACAATTCAAATGTCAAACTGCGTGTCCGCATTTGACCTTTGACTCGTACAATAAGAGGTCAGAGGGAGGTTAAGGTAAACATAGCAATGCTTTTCACGGGACAGTACCTTCAGCATAAAAGCCTAATGCGGATGTCATAATAAATGCCACCGAGGCATGCTCTGGGTCTCGCTGGAGGGTTTACTTAAAAACCAGGAAAAACATGCATTTTATGACACCGCCAGTCATAACGGAGGGAAAAATATCTCTAAGCTGACATGCTGAGAAAATTGACGCCCACTCGAAAACATAGCTTTTATGCACATTACCCATCGTCGAAAGCTTTTTCGTACCGTCTGTGTGGAAACATTTTCGAAGAGAAGATTTCAGAATTAAACAAATTTGTCACTTCTAACGGCGTGTCAATTTAAGGGAACTGAGCTGTTGATTTATTTAACCGATTAAATAGAATCTTTTATATTTTATTTAGGCGATTATTCTTCTTTCAAGAAAAATATCAGAGGCAAGAGTTTGTTTCTTTTCATGGTTTCATATAAGTGTTTTTACAGGCAGTTACAGGCAGTTCACCATCTCTATACCTCAATCTATCACAAAAACACCATTTTCAGTTTCAGTCATATACTGTATATAAATGATGGACACATCCAATGAGAACTCCTGAGGAGGATGTTGATCTCACTGAGAAATCGAGGACACTGCCTTCTAGTTATTTTCTTGAAATTTTGACTTATTAACTTGAAGTTTTGAGAGAAGTAACTCGAAGTTTCGAGCAAGAGATGCATCTGGCCCTTCATTCGATCCAGCTACAGTTCATTGAAGCCTCATGAGAAATGTATGGAAGCCCGTTTCTGCCACACAAAAAAAGATCCATAACTCAAAATTTCGAGTTATTTTCTCAAAATTTCGACTTATTAACTCGAAAATTCAATCTATTGACTCAAAATTTCGAGTTAGCGCTGCCAATCAGCAATCTACGTGAATAACGTCTCTTTCTTGTTACCCAGAAGGTTATGGCGCAGAGGGATGTGCACTCAAAACCAGATCATGAGGTGCCAATGTATAGCAACAAATTGACGCTTTCGAGACTACGTTTGCTGATAGTAACGCCATGTGATTCAGCTAACAGCACAAGGATTTCCTCATTTGTGAAGCCACATTGAAATTACTCAGCAATCTGCACATTCATGACTGACTGTAATACTGGTAGCTTAGCTGTAGCATTTGTAGCTGAGGGCTTCAGCTTCTGGGTAACAAGGAAATGACGTCATTCACGCAGATTGCTGATTGGCAGCGCTAACTCGAAATTTTGAGTCAATAGATTGAATTTTCGAGTTAATAAGTCGAAATTTTGAGAAAATAACTCGAAATTTTGAGTTATGGATCTTTTTTTGTGTGGCAGAAACGGGCTTCCATACATTTCTCATGAGGCTTCAATGAACTGTAGCTGGATCGAATGAAGGGCCAGATGCATCTCTTG